TTTTTATCCTCACGGTCGATGAAACAGAATATATAATTTTTCTGCCATGAGCCGGGATTCGAACCTGGGATCTTGAAAGCTCAGAGCCCTACCACTGGGCAACACCAGTCCTCTAATGAATTTTATCTCTCTCTCTCTCTCTCTCTATATATATATATATATATATATATATATATATATATATATATATATATATATATATATATATATATCATTTTTATTTAATTACTACTGCTCCTAATTTCACTAACTTGGAAAGTTCTCATCTTTGAGACCGTTCAACAATGCCGAGAAGATTCACACTTTCCACTGTTTAGCTACAGGTAGATGCAAATGCTTCTGAGAAACGTTTAGCATTGAGCCATGCTAATGCGAGTGTCTTGGCTTTTGAATAGATTATGCTATCCCGCAGCAGGTTGATACAGTCAGAGACACTAGTTTTCCCACCGAGTAACTGATAAGGTAAAAATACTAGTTTATTCTATTGAATAAAATATACGATAAGAAGAATGATATTAAAAAAAAATAAATAAAATTCACTAAACCCACCAGTCTTCCCAACTCAATTTAATTTTTTTATTGATATTTACAACAGTATTATAAAAAAATACAACTATCAAATGTGCACTCGGCAATATAATAACATGAAATCTCTTTTTGAGAAACTACCCACTGATAGCACTCGAATAATAAATTTACACAAGAAGATCACGAGGCCACTTTCTTTTCAGACGCTTAGGAGGGTTATCAGGGAAGCAACATTTGAAATGAGAGAGTTCGGATGGTTCTGGAGGTTGTTATGGAAGGTATCTGGTTTGTGCCTAATCGGAAACATATGCTTAAGTTCTTTATGGATGTTTTTATTTGTGACAAAGTAAGGAGCGTTGAGGATTTTACGAAGGTTTTGGATTATAAGGATTGGATACGGCAGGAATTCGATGGTTTGGTAGAGCTCCAAAGCTCAATTCCGTAAGTCCAAATAGGTCTTATTATTGTCATATATATGAGTCTATTGTAATCGAATGAAAGCTTAGAGCGTTTGTCTAGTAAGTGCTGGAGTAGTCGAAAATGTCGTGCGGTTTCTGGTCGTTTCAGTCTTGTAAGAGGATTCCATGTGAGACGTTTGTCCAGGTGGAGTCCTAGGTAAAGGATTTGTTCAACTGGGATAAGTGGGGAGTTATTAAAGGATACTGTAGGACAGGAGGTCATACGTTTGCAACGCAAGGTAAAGGTAATTTGATGGGATTTTTTAGACTTTATTATAATTCTCCAGTTTTTACACCATTCTTACATCACACCAAGGTTTGTGATATGTGATTGGAGAGTTTGGGATGCAGTCAATTTAAATTAAACAAATTAACAGAACTTTATTAGATGACGAATAATCGTAGAAAACACAGGAGGATTTTTTTATTATTATTATTTAATTTATCAAAAAATGTATTTATTTCCCTTTTTTCAAGAAACTCATGATAAATACATCTAGTAAATATAAGCACGTATAAAGAAAAAAATAATTTAAAAAATACCCCATAAATCATTATTGTTTTTTTATTTATTCATTAATTCTTTAAATATTATTTTATATGTTTTTTTTCCTATTATAAATACCGGTATATTAAAATAGTTTCCACTCCAATATGAAATCCTGAATCAGGTAATGATTACAACGGTACCTAAATGATTTCAACAGAATAATTCAAAATTTCGGTGGTCATGTTCAGTCTAAATAATAAATACATACACACATTAGGAGAACACATTATTATTAAATATTACAGTAATGCGTACATAAAGAAGAATATAACTAAAATTGATAACTAGAATTGACTTTAACATTTTAATGGAATTAATAAACATTTTTTAAATTCACCTCAAAAATACCTAAATCTACAAAATCAGATCTAAAATAATCCTCCCATCTACGTCTGGATGGCCTCTCCGGTTCTTAACACTTAAATTCAGCATTGATTACTGTTTTAAAAGTTCGTTCATTACTTAACCCAATCACTTAACATTACCGTTCCAATCAGCGCTGATGTGACTTTAATTATATTTACCGTTTTCTTGTTCCGCGATTCCGCTCAATGGAGCCTTTCTAATTCTCTGGTTTTCTCATTCAAAACGTTCGACAAAATAGTCAAACCCTAAAGACTTTAACGCGTTCTTCTTCACTTCGCATATGTGGAAACGTTTCATACTCTTTAAAATAACAACAGCAAAATGTAAAATTCTTGTATAAAATATTGGTTCAATAAATACGTAATATTAATTGTTAATAAAATTTTATTAAACAGTACTAATAAAATGTATTAAAACAAGAAAGAATGACTGAAAGACCACTTAGGAAATTGATAACAATTTTTAAAAAATTCAAAATTAAGCCCAATTGAAATGCAGTAGAAATTCACTGTATAGAAATACATTCGGTACTCCAACTAGAATTGATTTGAAAAATGAAGTTGCATGGCGCAAATTATACCATCGAAATCGAGGGTACATTTATACAGAATTTTGAATTTGGTGGGGGGAGCTGAATTTATTAGGAGGAATTTACGAACCATGGGTATCAGATGAAAAAAATGTGTGCAGACGATAGCAAGTCTAAGATCTACTATATTTATTCTCATTCCACTTTCACTTGCTTTTTCAAGAAGAGGAGAGCTATAACAATTTTTGGAAGGGGGAATGCACAACTTGGAAGAGGTGGGAGGGAGGGGAGAATAAACTCTTCCGTAAAAAATTACAGAGTTTTTTAAGTAACCTTAGTTACTTTCAAAACATACATATACAAAGGTTCGGCTAAAAATATAAGAGGTATATCTAAATAACGTAATAAACTTAATTCCAATATAGGGATTGGACGTGAAAATTGTCAAGATGACATGATTGTTGAAATATATAAAAGCGTTTATTGTTGACTATAAATATATATTTTACTAATAATAAATAATAACAATTTTTTTCGGTCTTCAATATAAAACTTTTAACTTCAAATTTTATTCCATTTATTATATATTTTATGTTCCATTGGCCGAAGTTTCGGGGTAATGGTATGGACAATTTTCTTAGTATTTTTTTTTTATTTAGTTGATGTATTATTTTTGTATATAGTGAAAATAGCAAACTAATTTTATGTCAATTGTATACTACCAAAGAAATTTGTATGGTGAATTTTTAGTAGAGTAAGTTTCACATTTCAATGTCACACAGAATTTGTTTATAACATGAAAAATTAAATGAGCCTTTCAGTTGACAGAATGATTAACTTCAATTTCAACATTTTTGAATAAAGTAATCTTAGTGATATTTCTAGTTGGAAAATTTATAACATATACAACTATGAATATAGAAATAAATTTTCTCCACTAGAAATATCATTAAAATTAATAATAAAAAATGTTGAAATTGGAGAAAGTCTTTCTATCAAATGAAAGACTTCGACAAACGGAATATATAAATAAAATTATTATAAATATGTTTATAATTAATTGAGATTTATCAATGTACTAAAATACTCTTTCTCGTCAAATATTATGAAAAAAGTGGATACAATTTTTTTTTTTTGTTTTGCAATATTATACGATTAAAATTATTTTTCAATCAATTAGTCTCAAAATTAAATATAATTTATCAGTTTGACATAGAAAGGATCCAACAAAATCTAGATAGTATATTCACTAACCCCCACATTTCATGCAAACCCATACATACATGTCAACCATAAAATTTTAATACTTTTTCTGACCCTATAAAATATAAATATAAAATGTGAATTATATTTTAAATGTTATAAAATAATATTTATCTTGGATAACAGAGAGGATGGCTGAAGACGCGAACCCTTAGACACAGATATAACTTACTCTCACATATGCTGTATTACTCCCCATAATCCGACGACACAGACTATATAAATATATATATACATATATACTTGAACGACACTGATACACTGTACTATACTCGGAGACCATCCACTTCGGACAGACTAAACACAACTGACGAATGTACAGTTAGGCCGGGGGCACACTAGCGCCATCTACCCGACCATTCTCTTGCAGGTGCAAGATCAATGGGTGGTTTTTTATCGCCCCTTCTTTTATAGTTGCGAAGAGGATTTGTGTCGGATATATTTGAATAACAATGGAGATATATCGCGGTCTATTTTAGGAGATAAATCGATAGAGACCCTCGCCATATTACTATACTAGAAAAACAGCGTATATTCTGATGGATCTGCCAGTCCCTATTATCTTACAAATATTTTAGTCATCGGTACAGATTTTTATCAAATCTTAAACATACGCATAAAACTTCGAGAATAGCTTCATCTCATCGTAACCATCAACTGTTCTATTTACTAAAATTTTCTGAATTGGGAAGTTTTCAATCTGGACATCGGCAAAATTTCTATATTCAATCAGTTACGAAAAACTCATGAAGACTCATTCGATTTCCACTTGAATTGTAAGATAATATGATCACAAAGTCATAAAGGTGGCCTACAAAAATATTAGGCCGTTGGCTTAAGCTCCACCACAAACTGTCAAAATAACGAGGTTAAATACGCCTAACGGCCGAATATTTTTGTAAGCTACCTATTTTTTTTTTTTATTTTGTGATCAAATTATCTTAAAATTCAAGTGGAAAGGAAATGGGTATTCACGAGTTTTACTACCTATTGAAGTAATTAATTAAATGAGAAAAACGCCCTATTTTTGGGAAATTTTTTAATTAAAAGAAATTATAGGTTACGATATGGTAAAGCCATTCATGAAGTTTAAGTTTGCTAAAAAATGGTGTGTACCAAGGTTTATTTTATGTTCATTTATAAAACGTTTATATGGGTGCAGATGAGTGTAATTTTCAAAATTTAATAGGCACAAATAAAACTTTTAATGCATTGTCTTCTAGCACCATCTATATCCATGAGTTTTTGCTCTTTTAAGTCTGCACGATATCAATTTACGTTTAACTTTAATGATTGCGTGACGATAATGAGTTGTAGAGGTTATAATAATGTTAAATTAATATTACATAATATATAATAGATATATAAACAAAACTACAATAAATAACTCTTAATTTGAAAAATAGAGAAAGAATATTTAACACCTTGGTACTTATGAGGGATAAATAAAATACTTATTATATTCTTGATGATGTAGAGATGGTTGACCGTTGGTATAATATGAGAAGGAGTTAGTCGAGGGTGAGGTCAAATAAATAAAAAATTAAAATATATTAATTATTTTAATTTTTGCCGACATTTCGACCCACTTTGCAGGTCGTCTTCAGGGCTACAAAAGATACAAAACATGTTGAAAATAAAAAAATAAATATAAGTATATATAAAATAAGAAGAAGTTGTTAGATACAGAAATAAAAGATGGTATCAGAGATATAGTGGGTGACAATGTAGTTAAATATTAAGAATTATATATGTAGAAGATACAAATAAATGGAAAATAAGTAGGAATAAAAATAAAAATAAAGGAGAATATAACATGTAAGTTAAAAATAAATAGATTGCGAAAAAAGATAAGGAATAAGTGTATAACAAACTAATAGAGATTACATTAGATAACTGTGGGTTAACAGATAAAGAAAATTAATACATGAATGTTAACGAATAAATAGATTGAAAATTGAATAAGTAATTATTACTGTAACAACACTTATTCAATTTTAAATTTATTTATTCGTTAACATTCATTTATTTGTTAACATTCATGTATTAATTTTCTTTATCTGTTAACCCACAGTTATCTAATGTAATCTCTATTAGTTTGTTATACACTTATTCCTTATCTTTTTTCGCAATCTGTTTATTTTTAACTTACATGCTATATTCTCCTTTATTTTTATTTTTATTCCTACTTATTTTCCATTTATTTGTATCTTCTACATATATAATTCTTAATATTTAACTACATTGTCACCCACTATATCTCTGATACCATCTTTTATTTATGTATCTAACAACTTCTTCTTATTTTATATATACTTATATTTATTTTTTATTTTAAACATGTTTTGTATCTTTTGTAGCCCTGAAGACGACCTGCAAAGTGGGTCGAAACGTCGGCAAAAATTAAAATAGTTAATATATTTTAATTTTTTATTTATTTGACCTCACCCTCGGCTAACTCCTTCTCATATTATATTTTTGATTAAAAACCCGTTTCATATAGACTTAATCCTTGGTTAATAACAGTTAAGGGTCAGACTTCGAGGTGGTGTTTCAATATTTCAAAGAAAAGTAATTCAAAATCAATAAAAATTAATCTACATGAATTAATAAAATATGCACACTAAAATCATTCATAAAATTATGAAAAATCGACTAGATGGTTTAGCAAAGACCTAGAGGTAAATATTTTACTAGGCCATGTGCTCCTATTATTGAAATTTTAGTTTATATTAAAAAAATAATTATATGTAGCAACTTAATCTAGAATTTAACGATTCGTTCATTTTTACGTGACGAAATAGTAGAATAGAAATAGTAGAAAAAATTGAAAAAATAGAAATAGTTGGTAATTCTTTTAAAACTGATATAAAATGCACCCCATCTCCCTCTGATGGCTACAAGGTTCATAAACTTTATCTCGCACTTACAGTTCCTGCTATCAAGGACCTTGATTTAAAGGCTTAATTTCCTTTTTCAAGGAGTCTTCGAGGGTTTAATATCTCTTGAGCAAATGGAAGTCAATTTTTTTTTTTTTATATAATGCAATAATAATTTTAATAATCTGAAGAATATATATATTTTTTTTATTATATGGGTTTTATACAACTTAAGGAGTCATATCCCCAACACCCAAAAGCCACTGCTCCCTCTCCATCCAATCTCCTTCACGAAGCCCTCCGGCTGCCATGCTTTCCTCCACGTCCTCTGCCCATTTCTTCTTTGGCCTTCCACGCTTCCTTCTTTCAGGTGGCATATAGTTATAAACATTAAGTGGCCATACAACTTTAACCGTTTGGTCCCGATCAGGTGAAGGATGTTCTTTTGACATCCAACCTTGTCTCTAATAGCTGCGTTTGGGATCCGCTCGATTCTGGATATGCCACAGCTTCTTCTCCAGAAATCCATTTCCATGAAAAGCAACTTATTTTCCATCTTTTTTGTCAGTGTCCAGACTTCTGATCCGTAAGTGGCTACGCTTTCTACAAAGGAATAGTATATCTTCTTTTTAGTTTTTAATCTTATTTCTTTACTCCATAGGGTTGAATTTATCGATCTTATTATTCTTTTCCCATTAATATAATCTGAAGAATATCATAATCATAAAATATGAAGGTTTTCTCCTACAGTCCGACAGAAATCACGCCTTACTCACTGAGCTAACCTGCTTATATATAAATAATTAACAACTTTTTAAACTTCCTTTTTATTATTATTGTCATTATCAAACTTCGTCTTCCTTAGGAATTAGGTATATTTAAACAATATTAAATTAATTAGCGATAAGTTTCGATTATTTCAGTAGCAACTGGCATTGGCAGAAAAGAAGTTTTATACGTGATAGTATCTATGCTAAGTTTTTTTTTCTTTTTCATTTAGGAGACGGGAAAAAACAACGTCTTCCAGGTAAGGAAAGGAAAAAAAAAATGGCTTGCTCAGGTCGGAGTAGATTGGAACAGATTGCAGACTATCCCAAAATACGTGACTCCACGTTCCGTGCCGGGATCAAGTTCAGGGCTACCGTATCACCCTACAACTCGCGTGATCAACGAGCTTGGTCTTATCTAGGGATCGTCTGCCATTGTGAAGTTGGGATTCGCGAAGTTCGCTTTGAAGTTGGAGGATGGCGGTGCGGAGAGAGAGACCCTACACCCACCGCTCCTCCGTATTGATCTCCCTCAAGCTTCAAGGCTAGTTGAGTCTAATAAATTGGATTTCAGTAAGCGACTGATCGCATCGGATGGTGTCACATCCGTGTCATACTCGTTAATCGTCGAGAAAATGAGTTCCCTTGTTTAATGAAGCCTAAAATAGTCTTTCGATAATGGAAGAGTGGTGAAGAAGACTTTTAACAAGCCAATCGATAAGAATAATAAAAGGTCCTGAGTAAGAATACTCAATAAGTTCTTAGGATACCTAAATAAATTAATAATAACTAGTAGGCCCGTGCGAAAAATTCGCACAGCATAATTAACAAGAAAACAAAATTATGCAACGTATCAAAAGATAAATGAATCAATTGTTACTTTATCGATAAATATAATCGACAAAGGAAACAAAATTAATTTAAATCTTCATTTTTGTTTGGAACCAACATGTTTACAAATTTCAATAAGCTGCATCTTTGCGAAAAACTGTCCGATTTCAATGATTTTTTCCCTTTTGTAGACTTTTGTAGATAATTTAGTAATGTTTTATATAATCATGGGAATAACCCAGAAAAAAAGTGAGTAATTTTTTAGTTATTCGCAAATAAAGTTTCTTTTCTTTCATAACTTGTTTGCCTGAATTTTCGGGGTGATTAGAATATTTTGCTCGCCTGAAGAAGAAGGAAGCCTTCGAAATTGGTGGCTCAATCTTGAGATTTGGTGAAAAATTAACGACGATATGGCTTGCCGATCAAAAACACCATCGATAAATAATATAAACTCCTGTCTCGATCATAGAGACCTCAAGTCGACGAAATGAGACATGTATTCAATGGCAGTACTACAATTAACTTCAGATTGTGGGGATGCGAACCCCATGCCTTGCGTTATCTCGAAAATAGTACCTTTTTGGGCTTAAAAACGCAGGATCCGAGTCTTGCTGTACGCATTAAAATCTTCAAGGTCCAATTTGTCCCACATCGATCTACAGACCTACCACTGTTCCAGTATTGAAGCAAAATGTTTGTATCGACTTTATTTATTTTAGAAAGAAAAACAAAAGTGGAGAATACGATTCGCTAATCCTCCGTGAAATTCTGAATCCAATGGTACCCCATTCATGGTATTTGAGCATGACAGGAGCTTATATTTGGTACAAAACCGATTTTGAGCCTTACTGTAATAATATATGTGCATGAGCTCACATACAGCGTAAGTTGAGAGAAAAGGGAACAATTGGAAGAATTGGTCGTATACAAGAAAATAAAAAATCTGGTGCAGGCATCACACGACTTTCACTTACCACCCCCTTAGCAGAAATAAGTATTTTCAAACAAAGGGGAAGTGAAAGTAAAAATTATATAAGCTGTATTTATTTACATTTCATTGTGGTTATTTTAATTTGTTTAAATACTCTTATATAGACAAGTTTTAATTTCTATATCGCTGTATTCTATACTATATTAAATAATACCAACAATAGCATTTATGAAACCTCATATGTATATGTACATAATATTGTCGGAGTCCGTATTATATTAAGCTCATGTTACATATGGAAGCCTGTCTTAGTATTTCGACGAGCTCGAAAGAACTATTATTATCAGTTACGATCTCTTATATATTCTTTAGTTAATTATCAAGTTCTTTCACATTTTATATTTATCTATTTTTTGTATCAAAGATTAATGTGAAATGGTTAATTATTTCAAATGAAAAAAATTAAAGGTACTTTAGAGGAAGATAGTATTGAAAATTAGCCATTTAGAGAACATAAATCAGAATAAAACCTACATTATATTAAAAACTGCGTAATAATACACTGATGTACTGAGTTTAATCAAAATCGTTAGAACCGAAATATTGAGCCGTTTGGCGTGACCCACAGCCCGAAAATGTCAAACTAAGTTATATAGGCCCAATATTTTTGTAGGCCACCTTTTTTCTCGATTTTGAGATAAAATTATATTGCGATCCAAGGGGAAAGCAAATGGTATTTACGAGTTTTGTTACTTAATTAAATAGACAAAATTTGGCGTCCTCCAGATTGAAAATACCCCAAATACAAAAATTTCTTAAATAAAATAGATACAGGTAAAGATGAGATGAAGCTTTAAGATGATTCAAGCGGATGTTAATAATTTGATAAAAAGAGGTCTATACCACGGACTATGAGTTTCGATGGATGGAAATCACAATTAATTAATATAAAAATAAAAACTTTACACAACGAACTTTTTATGTTGGCTCACTCAGAATATTGGTTTCGGGTTTCTGTGTTCAATAATAATTAGAATTAATAAGATAAAGGAATATTAATGTACTCAAGTGGACCAGGTTGCCATAAAATCGTATAGCATAACGGTTTATTTATTGGATAGTCAGTTTTTTTTCTAATATATATTTATAATCCTTAGGTCTCTGAAACTTAATAAATAAAAAAGTAAGAAATTGATACATAAGATTTTTGTGTATCATATTTTATAGGCCACGTTCCAAATCATGTTGTAGATGTTGCTGCTGATACATTAACTGTAGAAAGAGCATCAATGACATTTAAATGTCAGAGGTCGCCCTAATTGAACAAGTGGTTCATATCCGAACGAGCCGGCTTGACATTTCGCTCCTTGCATCTTCACCCTCACAATTCCCGAGGTCGAGATAGACCGCAGAAGAAAGTATACTTATGGCAAAGCGTAAACAGGATAATAAGTCTGAGATAAAGGTTTCTTTTATAGTTGTATTGTATATAACAAAGGAGTAATGTCTCCCCCTCCCCCTATGGCTGTGTTGTTAACATATTGTGCGGACGAACACCAACGAACGTAAGTAGGAAACGTTCGTGAATCACGATCGTGCATCTTCGTGACTTGGAATGTTAAGGAGGCCAAAATGTGCAAGCAGAGTTACGGTAAATCCATGAAAACAATCTCTACCATACACCAAATTAGTGGTGGCGATATTAAAGAACTTTGCCTCAGAATAAATTTATTTTTCTACTCTAAAAAAAATAAGAAAAATCAACGATCTAAAATATCTAAACTGAAAATATGTATAACTTATATATTTTTAAATTTTTTTAGTCGAGTACAGTCATGAAACTGATAAGTTACGACCAGTGCCAGAATTTATGTATAGTAAAATCTTGAAGAATACTATGCTAAATAATTTGCAATAAAAACCATTAAAAAATGCAATGAAATATTATGTGTAAGGAGATATCTTATTAAAGTGAAAAATTCTTTAAGCGCGTTTTGCACTTTTTTTTTTTTTTGTGAAGAGTGAATTATATTAAGCCGTCGGATCTTCGATGCGTACCGCTCGGCTAAAGTCGGTTGGAGTCGACTAATTGAAGTGTTTTTGAATATGGATTAAAATATCTCAAATACTAAATATCAGACCTGCATATTACAAGCGAGGAAACTGTTCATCATTTCATCCACTTTTTAATGAGCTGTTATTCAAAATTGGTTCTTAACGAGAGGCGAAAAGGGAAAAAAATGTCTAAAACCAAATGATAACGAGTTTTATTAAGATAGGAGTTAATGTATCGCAGAAACTAAAAATCGAAATTGCATACTGTAAGCGAGAGAATTGTACAACATTTTATTTCTTTTATAATGAGCTATTATTTATAATTTATATTTCATATTATTAATCTCCCCTTGTTAACGTTTTCAGTTCTAAAATGTGGTCTAAAGCACACACTCTAGTTTTTTAAAATGAATTTAGCACATTAGGACTAAAAAAAATTTGCATTAAAAAAATTATTGCTTTCTAAAAAAAAAAATTAATAATGGCAATTATTAAAAAAATGTCAAAAAAAATTAATGGCAGGAATAATTCGTTTTTTCTTTTTACCCAGAGGTTAAACCATCACGTCCACATCGTATTGCAGTGATATTGACATAATGCATCAAAAACATGTCAAAAAAACACCCTGTATTGGATAATGGGAAGGAATCTATACTCGACAACGCTAGACCTCATGTTTTACGACAGACAGTTAACAAAATAAACGAACGGTTTTACGAATCCTTCCACACCCATTTTATTTGCTAGAATTATCTCCAAAAGAGTTGCATCTGTTCAGAAAAGAAATACGTAAATGTGAGTAAATATTTTGAGTAAAGATGTTTTGATTTCATAAGTTGTTTTACTTAATAACATTTTCTGTGAAAACTAACATTGCATATGATATTTAAAAAGAAAAAAATACACTTGCTTAGTAGTTTTTTTTTTTTTTTTTAATTATATTTTATCATACTAGACTGAAAAGACAAGAAACCGCTCGACGTTTCCGATTACTTCAGCGCCTACTAGACAAACGTTCTAAACTTCCAATTAATTACAAAAGACTCATATACATGACTATAATAAGGCCTATTTGGACTTACGGAGTTGAGCTATGGGGCTCCACTAAACCATCGAATTCCTCTCGTATCCAATCCTTATAATTCAAAATCCTTTGTAAAATCCTCAATGTTTGTTACAAATAAAACCATCCATAATGACCTTAATGTTTCTTTTGTTTCAGATCTGACCTAATCCAGATACCTATCCTTCCATAATAAACTTTAGAATCATCCCAATCGTTTCTAACCTTGCTTCATCTTCAATTCCTGATAACCCTCCGAGACGTCTGGAAAGACGATGGCCCCGTGTTCTCGTATTGTAGACATAACATTAGAGTGCTACCATTGGGTAGTTGCTCAGCAAGTGTTTTCATGTCATTATATCCATATGTTCAAATTTACTAGATGTATTTATTTAATACAGTTGCAAATATCATTAAGAAATAAAAAAAAAAAATATTTTCACCGTTCTAATACATGACAATTTATCGTGCAGAGACATTATATAGTATTTAAAGACCACTCAGAAGAATTTATCATTCTGCAGAGCAATTTATCGTTCTAAAATGCACGGAAATACATAAATCAGAAGGCCCCATCTGATCCGAGGCTCAGCCCTGAGCGAGGAGTGGAATGCGACGGAGACTGCTCCAGTCCGCGGGCACAAGGCCAACCAGCGGCGCCCTTGTCCGGGTTAGAGAGGGGTCCTCTCGAAAGAGAGTGGAATTCACTTCTTGCTTCTTGGGGGGAGTCACGGTCCGACGGCCGATGCACTCGGGCGGAACGCAACCGTCCCGGGAAAGGAAGCGAGGAGGAAGGGAGGAGAAGAAAAATAGACGAAGAAGAAATGGGTTAGTATGGAAATGCATAAGAAAATACTGTTTGCTCAGGTCTTTCACGGTACTCTTGACCGTACCGGAACCGTGCGGTACCGGTAGAGCGAACGTGTCACGCCGGTTTATAAGAAGTGTTGATTCACCGCTGGCGTTCTATTCATACTTCAATATGGAAGCTACTAGGAGACTCTTCACGTCCCTAAGAATAAACTAGTTGGGTCCAACACTTTTCATCATTTATTTTGATTAGCTATAGATATAATTAAAGAAGCCTACACACAGAGTGCGATATGTCTCAGCGATACAATATTCCTGTCAGCAGCAATATGGCGATTAGTGTTGCCCAAATGAGAGACCAAGACTCGTCTTAGTCTTGCGCACTCAGTCTTGGTCTAGGTCTTTCGCAAGAATCTCGAAGTTAACTATTAGCCTATTACTATATAGACATATTACTGTAATTTTTAAGGTAGTGGAAACCTAACTAAGCCCGAATGAAAAATTGGAAGAGTTAAATGCAAAAGTGTATTGGTTATATAATTTTTTTATATATAGTAACTAAAATTTTCAAATATTACTAACTGTTTTGTCTTAATTGTTATTCACAAAACCGATTTTTTTTATTATCAGTTCTTTCAGTTTTATCAAGTCTTGGTATTGCAACAGTCTTGGCCTTGGTCTTACATTACATAAAAATATCCTATGATTGGAGGATTATTTTGTTTGTATTACTTTTATTATCTTTCCAGTCAGCGTTTAAAAATAGATCCTAGGAAAGCAATTTGTACAAATATTTTGGTCTATAATGTTTAAAAGAATATTGTAATCGACTAAGAAAAAGATATTAATTCCTTCCTTACATAATACACAGAACCTACTTATTTCCATATTGTTTTGCTATTTCTTCACTAAACAAAATTGTCTGCGAATTTTCCTCACGGGCCAACTAGTATTTTAATATTCCTTAAATTAAAAAAAAATATATGTATTGGTCCAAGTACGCGATATGCTACAGCTGCTAAAGTTTAGTAAGGTATCTTTATGAATATTTAAGGATTAATATAATAAATACAAAACTTAACTAAGCCGGAGATCCAAGTAGATACCATCATAAGAGTATTTTACATTATACAACGTAATACTCCATCAAAATCTGAATTGATAAGATCCGAAAATATATTACCATCTATCTCTGAATTGAATAATTATCTCGCCAAAGTAAGAGAGTTTCTAGAATTCATCCAAGAAGAAATTTCTTTTCCCAACCTCCGATTCCCCGAAGACCAATCGTGCAGGAAATTCCAACCGAACAACAGGATGTAGAATGACCTCTATTTTTCAACTTAATGAAGTTTTTTAAATTAATAATAATTAATAGAAAATTGTATAAAACTTTCAAATTAATTAAAAATAATACTTAAACATTCATAATTAAATAAGATAACGTCGGCATTAATCCCAGATTATTTATATACTGGAGTAATTGAGGTTAGGTTTAATCCAACGTTAACCTTTGATTCCAATATCTTTAAATTAAGATAAATGATTTTATTATTGTTACAATATTTTATTAATTAATTAAAAATATAAATTTATTATAAAACTGCATCACGTTCTAATGAAGGAATGTTCGAAAATTCACAGCATTGTCTTAGGGATTCATCAAGAGGAGATATAATATTTAATTCAATGAATTTCTGAACTATATTTACTCGATATTGAAATAATGAATTATTGTTACTAAAGTAACATTTTGTTAACCTCTAATTTAAAAGTAGCTAATACGCCTATGTACAAAATAGATGAAGGATTTTGCTTAAATCAAAATTATTTTGGGCATTAGAAATCTTTCTATCTATATTTATTTCGGTTTTGAAACTGAATTATTCAATAGATAAATATCTTAAATATTTTTTTTTTTTAAATTTGTTTTGTAAACTATGAGTGTTAACTATCCGCTAGATTCCAGCAGGTCGTTTCTAAACTCAAGCTAAGCCGCTATACACCCGCCCAAGATTCAATCGATTGATCGATTCCTTTGATTGAATTAATGCTGAGTTTAAGAACTTGCCCCTGATTCTTCTAACTAGTATATTATAAAAGCATCTTGATATTTTGACATATTCATTTTAAAAGATATATTCGTAAATTTAACAAAATATGATCATTTTATTTATTTTTTATTCACGTTAGATTGCTCAATATAATAATTTTTGAGCATGGCTGGAGATACATTAGAAAATCATGTAATATTTATAAACAAAAAATTACTTTTTAAATTACAATTTAGGTTAATAATAAAAATGAGTTTTGCATCACTAGGCAATCATAAATTTTGGGCCTATATTAAAGGTTTAAGAGAAGAAACTATTATTAAACTTTTTTTATTGACTCACGAAATAAACAACTTGACATAGTTCTTGAATGACTTAAAATATTTATAAAATAAAATAATTATTTGAAGTTTACTGATGGAAGAATGTCCTCAATTGGAAAAAGACAAAAAAAAAAAACTAAAAAAAAACTGACTTATTATCACAGATTGGCAATAAGAATAATTATAATTAAATAATATAAATTGTCAATAAAACACGATTTATAATATAGATAGATTCCTTAAGATGTCAAAAACTAGTCCGAACTGTGGTTTCGTTCTGTTTATTTTATATTAATAAAAAATAAAATAATGGGAACTACGAAATACATGAAAATTACAGTTATACAATTTGAGCAACGAGAAGTATAATTAAATGAAAAGTTGCATAATTTGCAAAATGGGGTTGGTCTGCCATTAGGTGGACAGGTGGTACCCTCTTAGTTGCAGTTTCCAAGACCAAGACCAAGACCACCTAACTCTTGCAAGACCAAAACTGGTGTTAAAAAAAATCTATTTTTTGAATAAAAATTAAGGCAAAATAGTTACTAATACTTGACAATTTTAGTTACTATATGTAAATAATTGATATAACCAATATACTTCTGCATTTAACAATTCTAATTTTTCTTTCGGGCTTAGTTAGGTTTCTTCTTTATAAAAAAATACAGTAATAACTCTGTAGTAATAAGCTAATGGGTAACTGCAAGAATGTTACGAGACTCTTGCGCAAGACCAAGACCAAGACCAAGATGAGTCTTCTGGGCAACACTACAACACATAAAAGTTATCTTCTTATTTTTCTTTTTTTATTAAAAATAATCCACAAACAAGCAAAATTCACAATAAAAGAATATTTAACAAAATTACATACATACCACAACTTACAAAACAAATTAAAAAAGTATTCATGAACGATGACCTACCGGAAATCCAGTTTGGCATATATAACGACAAAAAATTAAGTAAATACTTGACAAACACAAAAGACAAGAAAAATGTTGTTTATAAGTTAGACTGCCAACAAATATACATATAGGTGAAACTTAAACTAATTTAACTGAAAAAAACTAAAAACCAGAATAGTACAACATACATCAAACTGCAAAAATAGTAAAATTATTAACATAACAGCCCTAGCAAACCACAGTATTAAATCATTACACACTTTTGACTTCAAAAACCCAGAAATACTGGCAATAGAACCTAAAACAAATAATAGGAAACTGCTGGAAGCTATACATATAACAAAAAACAATAATAGAGAACAGTAAACTATAAAACAGATACAAAACATTTAGGTACACACTATTCGGACATAATATCCAATATTAAAAAAAAAAAAAAAAAAAAACAATAGCCAAAAAACAAAACAAAAACACAACAAACAACCATAATAAGAAATAAGAGGATGGGTACAAAGTACAGAAATAAAACTAAAGATAGCCAGATGTTGATTAGTGTATCAATGAATATGTGTAACACGAACAATTTTTTTTTTTTTAAATGTGACAAATATTTAATTTTAGACAAATGGTGCCACATCAAAATAAAAGGTGAATAATTGTAAAATAGATAAATTGGAATGATATTGTTAAATAAAAGTTAATATAGAAAATGTGCATAATTTCAGTAAAAATAAAAATATTACTCTGATGATGGGAAAAATGTCCCGAAACGTAAGAGATAACAAACATAAATAAAAAAATAGGAAGTTTTATTGCCTAAAATATGAAAAAACACATAAAAGTTCTTTTAACAAAATTAAAAAAAAAAATTATCAAGTTATATCAACATATATTTTTGTGAAGTTTCGGCCGGTTGGCCATTTTCAAACATTTCATTACACATATTATATACCACATGTATAAATTATCGTTAAAGGCCTTAATTATAAATTATAGTTTTAGGATAGAGGCGTGGAAGAGAAAGAGATAAAAAAATTGAGGTTTAAATTATTATATTATAATCAAAAACGAAAAAAAAAAAATCTTAAAATTCAATTTCTTGATTGAATAGCCCTCGCGACTTGAAAATTAAACTTTCTTCTCCAACCTGCTCAAATATAATTAATAATTATCTCCCGAATCGCAGAACTGCCTGTTGACAAAAGCTAGATGACCCAGGCGGGTTTCTAATCCGCAGAGAGGCTCAAACCGCAAGGGTGAGTTTAGAAAGCGAAGTCGGATAAATACCTGTCCAAAGCCGGACTAACTTTCCCAAAGGCCCTTGATTAGCTTGGGCCAGTGGGTGGTATCTATAATTATATTACAGGCAATCGGCTGCAATAAATTTCTATAAAACTATTAAATAATTATTAAGTAAATAATAAAAAAAAATCTCATCCCTCCTGCCTAAAACAGAACAAAATTTGCTTATATTGGTACTTGTTCGTGGTACAGACCCTTTTTTATCAAATTATTAACATCCGCCTGAAACTTCCTAAATAGCTTCATCTAATCGTAAGCTAAAAATATTTTATTTATAGAAGTTGTCGGAATTGGGGCGTTTTCAATCTGAAGATCGGCAAAATTTGTCTATTTAATTAGGCACTAAAAACTCGTAAATACCCGTTTGCTTTCCACTTCAATCGTAAGATAATTTGAGCAAGAGAAAAAAGTTTGCCTTAAAAATATTATGCAGTTTATCGTGTCCTACAACCCCAAAATGTAAAAATAACGAGGTTGTATAGGCCAAACGGCCCAATATTTTTGTAGATTTTTTCTCTCGATTTTCTTATTAAATTATTTTACGATCCAAGTGAAAAGCAAATGATAATATACGAGTTTTTAGTACCTAATTAAATTGAGTACTAAAAACTCGTATATTATCATTTGATTTTC